AATTAGCTGCTAGAAGATCTGCTTTGCAAGAATTATTAAAAGTTAGCCTTTAGAGAGAAAGAGAAGCATCTAGGTCAAAAAACTTGAGTCTGTATAAAGGAAAAAAAAATAGTGGAGAGTAAGTGCAGGTCAATGCGAAGCTGAACTTGTCTTACTCTCACTTGATGCTGCAGATAACAGTAAGTCGCAGCAGGGATGCACTGGACTACATGCCCCTATGCACACGATTTCGCATGCACTTAAGCGCACAGGGGATAGCATCGTGTCATAGCGGGTTAAGCTGCTCTTTGTGATCTGGCATTCCGCAGAGTCCTGGTTCCAGTTCCAGCTGCTCCACTTCTGACCCAGCTTCCCACTGATGCGCCCGGGGAAGGCCTGAACGCCTGTTAGACCTGTTTGGTGTTACCTTTTGGGGGGCACATCAGCGGATAATTCATTCTGCCTCTGTGTCTTTCAAAATAAACGAATGAATTTTAAAAATCCTGCTTACATAGTATTACATGCAAGCGGAATGAAGGAGAGCAATGACATAGGGAAGGGAGACATTAGGATTATCTTGCTACTAAAAGCCACTTGCACTATCTGTGAAGCCATACTATCATTGTTTGAGTGAGGACTTGGACTGGGTAAAAAAAATTTCCAAATACTCCACAATCTCCAAGTACTGAGATATTAAATAATTCACCTCTGTATGAGGAGAGGAAACCAGGGGAACACAGCCAAGGGATGCTAGCAGCCACCGAAGGCCGGGAGATGAGAGGGGATTGGTCCCTGCAGCCGCTCCGGCTTTATATCCGCACTCCCCAGAGGCGTGCACACAAGGGGCTCGGATACCTGCTTCGTAGGCAATTCCCAGGAATGTTCATTTGGTGGTAATTCGCCTAAAAGAACACATACAATGTGTATACTATTCTACGCAGAACGTGTCAAGAAAACACCAGTGAAAACAACAAAGCATAACTCTGTCACGGACACGAACTGCCAGCAATGGAGTAGATGAGGGATGGAGGCTTGAATAATTCTAGCAGGATTTTGTCGTTGTTGTTGCTGTTTGGGATAGACACACAGAGTCTTGCTCCTCAAATTGTGAAATCAGAATTTCAAGGGCACGTGGAGTATTTGCAAAACAGATCACATACAAGACAAGCAATGTTCTACATGCTAATTGATGAGCCAGAACATCTCATATTTATGGATGATACTTAGATTAGCACAGAGTTGAAAAACTAACCTTAAGTTTATCTACATGCTAAATTACAATCTTTTTTTGACTATATGAGCTAATTTTAAATTCAAATGGAGGACCCAGTGCAATAGCTCAACTGGCTAATCCTCTACCTCCAAGCACAAGGATCCCATAGGGATGTCTGTTTTTGTCCCAGCTGCTCCACTTTCCATCTAGCTCTCCGCTGTGGCCTGGGAAAGCAGTGGAGGACAGCCCAAGGCCTTGGGACCCTGTACCCACGGGAGAGACCAACAGGAACCTCCAGGCTCCTGGCTCAGCTCTAGTCATTATAACCACTTGGGAGGTGAACCAGTGCATTAAAGATCCTTCTGTCTTGCCTCTCCGCACGCCTGCCTTCCCAATTAAAAAAAAAAAAAAACTTTTAAAAAAATGATGCATTTTCTTAATAAAGATTTATTTTAAATTTTCAGTGTAAGAGTAAAGAACCAAGAGTATCCAAAAAACTGTTGGATATTCACGTAAGGATATAATTGGCGACATAAACACATTTATACTGGTAGCCACAGTAAAGGATCAACCAGCCAGCCAGCCTGCAGAAAGACCCATGCATCCACTGAAGCTTGATGCTTTCCACATGCATCGGTAAAATCAATGAGATGATCGGAATCAGAAGAACTAACAAAGAAACACAGCTGCTTGAAGGGTTCAGGGAGCTAAGGATGCCAAAGGATTACTAGGTCCCCATTTGGGGAGAGATGGGTCCAGGGATGGGAGCCACTGTGAGGGAGATTTCTCCCTTGCTGGTATCGGCAGACTCTGTAGGCGGCACCTGGGATGTTGAGGGCACAGGCTTGTCTGGGCTTTGTCCGAGGGCTAAGCAAGGAAAACAGCCACTCGAGGGAAACCAGTTCTCCTTCTGGCCACCAGAAGGGCCACAGTGACTGGCCCAAGGAGCAGAACTTGTGGCAGTGCCAACAGGAATGTAAATTAGGGCATTCATTTTAGAATGAGCACCAGCAGGTGTCAAAAGTCTTGGTCAAATTCTACTTAAAAAAAAAAAGATCTGTTTGTTTGAAAGGCACAGTGACAGAGAAGAAAGAGAGTTTCTATTTACTGGCTCACTTCCCAAACACCATCAGCAGTGAGGCAGGAGCCAAGAATTGCAGCCTGGTCTCCATTGTGGGTGACATCTTCCGCTGTCCCTGCAGAAGCACTGGCAGGAACCTGGCTAGGAAGTGAAGCTTACTCCTCTGTGCTCTGCCAGTCCCAAGCTCTACTGCTCAACAGGAGCCCTAAATACACAGATGATGCACTGTGCTGTGCTTAGGTTTCTGTGTGTGTGTATCTCTGTACTCCTCGACTAAAATGGTAAAAGATAAAAAATAACAGAGGAAAGACGGCTGCACTGGCTGTTCAGTAACTGAGACAACTGGACAGAATGTGGCATCAGAGTCAATTCTTACTGTACACAAGGCCTATGGAAACAACAATATTTTGTTAATTTTTAATAGAAGGTACATTTGCACATCCTTGGGAAATATAAAGAATTTGTTAACATACAAAAATCCAACCAGTTAGGGACATGAGCAAATTAACCGCATTAACTAAAACCTCGGTAAAATAAACAGAACTAAAAACCAACCATATGCCCTCACAGATGACAGCTTCCGTAAGTGTCAGCAACTTCCAGAACACACTGTAAGCCTTCCAGAATACAGTGTAAGCCTTCCGGAATACACTGTAAGACATGCATGTATCAGCAATAAAGAGACTACTTCACGCGGCGTGGGGTGAAGGGGAGGCCAGGCAAGGACATGAACTGGGGATCTGGATTACGAACAACCTAATTGGTGTGACTCACAGAAGGGCATGTTCACATAACAGACCAGCATGGCACTCGGAATAAATGAATTAGAGTCATGGGGCAGTCACATGGGGGAAAAAAAAAAAGACAAACCCTCAAGAACAATGCTGAGTGGATTACACGAATTGCAAAATGAAGTCATTTACACAGAATCTGCAATCACATACACCATTCAGAATCCAATGTAGCACCATGGCTCACTGATTCAGTAAAGCACAGTGAAAAACGAAATGTCTAGAAATGAGATTTGTGCCTTTGAGACCAGGGGCTATTCTGGGAGAGAGAGGAGAGAGAGAGAGATAGAGATAGAGAGACATGTTTCAGTGAGAGACCCACCAATTCTTCAATTGTCTATGGTTTTGTTTCTGGGAAAACAAAGATTGAAAGCAGGTTTGTCCACAGTTTCAGTTCTTTACTTTCCTGCACCATTGAAACTGTTTCTGGAAACAGGTGGAAAATAAATCCCACTTTCCTAGTTTGGCTCGCTTTTCTTCCTGTATCTACTGCCAACACCACAAGGTACAGGTGCATCCCAGACACGGTTAACACTTACACTGAAGGTCGTCCCCTTTGAATCCTAGCACTTGGTTCCTTAGAGGGTCATTATCCTGGATCAAACTTTCTATCTTGGGGATCAAACTATGCCATATTAGGTTAAGCTTCTGCCTGCAGTGCTGGCATCCCATTTGGGGACAGGTTCAAGTTCCAGCTGCTCTACTTCCAACCCAGCTACCTCCTAAGTGCCTGGAACAGCGGGCAAAAAAACGGCCTAGATCCTTGGAGCCCTGAACAGCTCTGGCCCTTGTGCCATGTGGGGAATGAAAGCAGCAGATAGAAGATCTCTCTGTAAATCTGCCTTTCAAACAAAAATATTAATAATAAAACAAAATCTTCCTGCCTTACGTGGAGTTCCCCAGGGAACTGCAGTGACAGGAGATGCTACTTGGAGTGACAACTTGCTTACCTGATGCACTGTTAATCCCTGACTACCTCCTGTCGCTGGTTGCTAAGAGATGCAGCACTGCCTCCTCTTGCTTTGCTATAGTATTAAGAGTACAGAATGCCCAGTAGCTACCGTGCACAGGCTTGCCAGACTGTGGTCTCTGCCACTGGCAGGGTCTGGCTACCAGTGCCAATGGCTCGAGTCCCTCAGTGGGCTCTTGCCCACGTGTAGGTGTACACACACACACTCACACTCAACTGCAGCTCAAAGACACGGTTTCTTACACCCTTAATTACCCTCCAGAATTAGCTCTGACTCATCAAGCCTTTACCATTTTCAAAATCCATCTTTACTCCTGTTCAATTTCCGTGTCACAGGGAGGAGATGACAATTTGAATGAGTTCTCCAGGAAGGTACATTAAGGACACTCCTTCACTCACTCACTGTTTAACCAAGACACAATTACCCAACGGCCTACAGCCAAGACGGCCGGGGCCTCTGCAGCAAGGAGCGCGGGCTTTGAGCCTAGCTGCAAAGCCCCGCACTTTGCCATGAGAGCTTTGGAGTGCTCTCTGGGGCCCACCCATCACACACACAATGATTTAAACAAAATGAAAACAACAACAGGGTGACTCACTCCAGCATTCCTTGAGTGTCCTTTAGGAAGAAGGCTATCAACATGACCTCGTGATTAGCCTGGGGCTGTTCATGTGGGTTTTATTTTATTATTTTATTTTTCATTTTCAGAACTTGAGCATGATGCTAGGAGAATCACGCAAGAGCTGGCCACGAATGAACCCTCAGGTCCGCTCTGCCTCTGACCCCACGCTGGGTGGATCATGCAGCGACACAGAGCTGTGTGTGTTTATTGCAAAGAGGAAACAAACTCCAACCATCAGTTACTGAAAGGCACTGTGATGGGAAGGCTGGATTTTGCAGCCCCTGCCTTCCTACCCTGCTTGTGTGAGATAATATAAGCCATCACCTACTGCCTGCCGCGCGCTTACCTCGTTGTCCGACTCCACGAGAACTTGGTCGTATTCACTAAGCGCTACTAGGAACATGATAGAGGTGACATTTTCAAAGCAGTGTATCCATTTTCTTCTCTCTGACCTCTGGCCCCCTACGTCGACCATTCTGAAAGGTTAACAACAATTGTATTAACAGCACATATAGAAAACCTTCACAAAGCATCTGTAGCACTACTCAGAAACGTAGGAAAAACATTCTCTAGAAGGACAATGGTCAACCATGTCAAACAATGTTTACTGGTTACCTGCAGATTGTGTTGGCCCAGGATTCCCAGGCCACACATTGTACCGTGGTTATCAGAAAGCTACCAGACGTGTAGGAAAATCCTAACTCACTTTGGAAGAAAATCCTTATGTACGCCAAGAATCAGAACAAGATCGATTTGTGTTAAATACTGAGCCTGCTTCTTCTCCTATCAAATCAGAATGAGTATCTACATAAAAGCATCTGAAAGGTTTCAGCTATAGGCAGCATGAAGCTCTCACTGTGTATAAAAGCTCAAGGATCTTTCTGGCCCAGGGCAACCACCTGGAGCTAAACCTTCACCCTGACCGTGGCTGGGGCAGCTCTGCCGTGACACGTAACACTGTGTATTATAACAGGTGCACCAGCCAAGCCGCAAACCTGCTGGAAAGGAAGCGGTGCATAAAACATCCACATACAACAAGGTACCACACCAATGCCATCGTTCAAACTGTTTCTATCAGCTCTATATGGAATTAACTGGCATTGATTCATCTGAGTAACCAAGAACACATGAAACTCCCCGGCAGTGCTTGGCACTCAACCAGAGTTTACTCTGTTGAGTCCAAAACTTGACTGAAACATACACAATGTCCACAAGGGCGCATTGGGCATGAGAGAGAGTGAAAGTCAGGCTCTTGAGCACTTGCTGAAAACTGCTGGGACTGCTCGTCTATTGCTGCTACTCCCGGCATTAAACCCAAACCCACCGAGCGAGGGTCCCCCAGGGGCTGTTGCTAAAGGACTTCCCGGCACAGCTGAGAAACATGAGGTGCAACACAGAAGATTTGGACATAATTAGAAACTAAAGATATCAAAACTTGAATCCTTAGTCCCTACAAATACTGAGGTTCTGGGTTGTCCCTAATGGCACTGTGGGAATAATAAGCTACTTGTTCACATGAAATCTTTATTCCATGAAACTCTGCCCTGCACAACCATTTTGATAGTGGCAGAAACTTACATTTCTAGGTCATTATTTTCACCGCAGTGAAAAAAAAATAATAATAAAGGTTCCTCAAAAGCTACTGCATAAAAAAGCAGGAAAAAAAAAAAGATGTAATGCATCTGGTTTGGGAGCTTGCTGATTGAAAAAAAAAAAAAGAGGAGAACTGAAACCTTCATGAAATACCACATGTTTTTGGAAAATATTTTATAACATAATTGTAAGGGAAAAGAAATTTTTGCCTCAAGTTAAGAATCTCTAAACTTTAGTAACACAGGATGCTGAAGCAACAGGGAATCTTGGGCGTGATCTAATGTGAACATCTTGTACGACAAAAAACAGAGCAATTTTCTAAAAAGCCACCCATTTTAAGTCTCTTGCAGGGCTGCATGTCACACATTCAGTTATGGGTACAGAGACAATCTGGAAGAAAGGCCAGCCACGCTGCAAGGCCTGCTCATCGGAGCCCCGGGGCACAGGGACAGTGATGGAACTCCAGCTTGGGACGGTGACCTGGTACATGGACCCCTTCAACAGACAGGCCCTCGAGGAACTCAGCTCCTGCACTGCAAGCTACACATTCACACAGCTTCGTTTTTCACAGAGTCAAGTGGTTGGCATTCTAACCAACAACACAGCTGACTGTGTAATAAGGGGCTAAATGAAAGTACGCTAGTATTGTTTACTTTTTTCTAATCCAGGAACAAAAAAATAGGACGCTCTGAAGACATAGTACCTAGATAGCACAGCCAGCAGAGGTCAAACACTTGCAATTTACTTTGCTACAGAAATTTAGACTCTGTTAATTAACACAGTTTCAAAATCATGAACTTCAAAATTTTTTTTCAAAGAAATTATTTTAAGAATATAAAACATCACCACATCTTTGCCAAATAGGCAAATTTTGTATGGCTCCCAAATGACTTGCAGAGAACAAAATCAACATGAAAGATTGCAATAAGAATATTTCTCTTATTATATCTCACATAATTCCCCAAACATTCCCATTCGCCTCTTAAAGTGCTACCAAAAGAAGTTACAGTTAGCCCGCATGTTGAGTAACTGATTTACCAAACTAGGATTTCATTAATTTCCTGGTGGCCTGAATTGAAATCAGGAACCTGCCAGTGCTTTCCCATCCTGTCCTTCCTGTCTCAGGAATGTGGTATTTAATTTGTGTATCTAATGACAATCCCTTGCTTTCAATACTTAAAGGGCTCAGACACAGTCAAGGCTTAAAGGTTGTGAAGCAAGCTCTGGGGACGCGGTTACTACCTGAAAATGACACTCTGTAAGTCAAAGGGGTACTCGATGATTCCCGTGGTGGGGACTCGAACCCGAAGCACGTCTTGTTGCGTAGGCAGGTAGGCGGGGTCGGCTACACGGTCCAAATCATTAAGATAGCTAGAGGAGGAGACAAAATGAGTGACACCATTACACACCAAGGGGCAACAAGGAGAAGTAAGAGCAGTGAGTCAGAACAAGAAAATGTTAGAAATGGTAACACAGTTTGGGACAAAGAAAGATAAAATCTTCAAGTCCTCAAAATAAATGAATCTAACTAAGGATTGTGGGCCCTGTGTGGTCCTCACTTCTTACCTTACCCTTGACCAAAAAAATCACACAAAAAGCACAGGAGAGGGGCAGGGGGAGAAGTTCAGATGTATTTCCCTTCCTCTATTTTCTGTTGTCATGGCAGGTCTGGTTGGTAAAGCAGGAGTACAAACAGTTTTAGAATCATTTATACAACTTTGATTCGTATAAATAAATAACAGAGCCACACATAAGGTCAAGATGCTTTTCTTGTTTGTTTTGCCTTTTTGCTTTTTTTAAAAAAAGAAGGCAGTCTTTTCCTGGAATATTCTTTTTTAACTCCCTTAAAAGAAGAAATCAGGATTCCATGTTCTGAATTCTTCCAGAGCCCAAGTCATTTGCAATTAATCTAAAGATCCCACATTTCTAGTTATTCCGACAATGTCTAAGACAAATCCTCAATGTTCAAAGTCATCACATTTCAACATTAATCTCTGTTTGATACTCTTCCATTCCTTTAATTTTTTTTTAAAAAACTCAGAAATAACTTTATATTTTCAAGAGGTTGCAAAAACATTAGAAAGAATTCCCTGGCATACTTTAAACCTTTTCTCTCAACCCCGCATCGACAACATCCTCTGTCTCTATCATACCCCAATATCTACACCAGAAAACTGATATCATGACAATACCGCTGGCCAAATTATAGACCTTATTTGTATTTCACCCATACCATTTGTATTTCACAGACATATACACATATATACATATACACCCTATGTATGTACTACTTGCATGTGTCTTTGTATATAGATGGTTAGCATGTTTCCATGCATGTGTGTGTGTGTGTGTGTATACTTGAGGAAGTACACACTGCAATAAAATTCTAAAACACGTGGAGATCCACAGTCGTCCCCATATCAGGGCACAGAAGGGTTCTCTCATCACCATCCTCTTGTGTTGTCCCTGCCAATCTTAACACTGGACAACAACACATGTTCTCTGCCCTGGTACAATTATATCATTTCAAAACTTTTATTCTGTTCACTTGTCATGTTCTCAAAGTCTCAACAAAATTTTTGGCAGTGTTGCAAACGATAAAACTTTCTAGAAGTGATAGTCAGATGAAAATGATTCCTTTAAGTAGTATCTTTATGATTTAAAAAAGTTACCATGCTCCTTTGTCCTCGAGGAAATGGAACACAGACTTGCAATTGAAAAGTAAGAAAAATATAGAACAGGTGGACCCATTAATAGAATTCGAAGGGGCAGTTAGATTTTCAACCCCTTTATGTTCACAAATAAGCACCAGTAAGTGCTGAGAGACCTAACAGGAATGTCTATGGACATCACGCTCTAACTCAACGAAATCACAAAGTCTTTGCTTTGTTTTATCTACCTGTACTGATATGACTGAAGCTAAAACAGTATCAGGCAAGGAATAGTTACCATTTATTGGATGGACGGCCAATGGTGATGTTTACTTAGGCATTATTTAAATGCCATTCTTATGGATGTTTCTATATGAAATTGAATGTTAGAAAGCAAAATTAGGGCCCGGCGCGGTGGCGCAAGTGGTTAAAGGTCCTCGCCTTGCACGCCCAGGATCCCATATGGGCGCCGGTTCTAATCCCGGCTGCCCTGCTTCCCTTCCAGCTCCCTGCCTGTGGCCTGGGAAAGCAGTCGAGGATGGCCCAAAGCTTTGGGACCCTGCACCCGCGTGGGAGACCTGGAAGAGGCTCCTGGCTTCGGATCGGCATAGTATCAGCCGTTGCGCTCACTTGGGGAGTGAATCATCGGACGGAAGATCTTCCTCTCTCTCTCTCCTCTCTGTATATCCGCCTTTCCAATAAAAAAATAATAAAAATAAATATTTAAAAAAAAAGAAAGCAAAATTATGCTAAGTCTGTAAATTTAAGGAATCATACAATAGCATAACTAAGTCTGACTTTAATGAAAATTTCACTTCATATTTGTGGGGGGAAGGTTCAATTTTCTAAGACCCCTCACCAAAAAAGGTCCCAACCTAGAAACTCCCCATTGTAAAACAACTAATTTACATGCTAGACATGTCAGCTTTTCCCCAGCTGGCAATGAGCTCTGTGCTGACCAGTAGCAATCAAGCTGATGGTGAGACGAAGGCTGGGGGCACTGTGATGAGACAGGCACGGAAAAGCGGACTGGATCCAAAAGTTCAATCAGTCTCTCAGCACAGTCTTGGGGTTGATCGATATGGGTAACAAATCTATTTTCTGGGAGTTGATCTGTCTCATCACATCACATCTACCGAACAAACGGCTAGTCTCCTCAGACGGGATTCCTTGATTTATCAGCTCCTTCATCCAAAAAACCTTGAAAAGAAAACCCCACTGTCAAATCGACAAAATCACCTTTAATTTATCTCCACTCCCCACGGATGTAATTCAGAGGACTCACAAAGAACTTCACATTTGCACCAGGGGTGCTTGCTCAGGAACATGAATTTCGGTGAATCCTGCTCGGGTCACACAACACACACAGAGGTCAGCACACAGGGTTGCCAAGTGTGCTGGGCTGCTTCCAGAAGAGGAGCCTGACAAATTACTTGCTGTCCCTCCAAGGATGCTCCATATATTTTAAATTAGACATTTACAGCTTGAAATTGCACTGTCTCAGGTGGTTGGCAGAGGAAAAAAAAAGTCCACTTTACTCAGCTAAAGAGCTTCAATCAGTCTAGTTTAACAAAGGGAATGGGCTGAGAGGGACCGTGTCCAGCTCTGCTGGTTCTAATCTACCTCGCAGAAAACTAAAACAAACCCCTAACACGGCAAGGCAAGGCAAAGGGCAACAGAAGACCAACAATAGTGAATGTCACAGCCAAAACACAAGACTGGGTGGTTGTAGGCAATCTGTGAGGTGCCTTTCACTGCTGAGGCAATGCCAGTGTGGCCAGCTTCCGCCTGCAGAGTCCCTGGCCTGGCATGCACCCTTCATCCCGGCCTCACAGGACTCAGTCAAGAGCATCTCAGCACTGGCTGCACTTGACGCTTGCTGAGGCAAGAGAACCATCTCCGTTGCTCGCACCCGGTTAAGACTTGGCCACTGCCACCTGTTGATGCTTCCATGGAAAGTACATCTCACAGCCTGAGGATGACTTGGGAGCTATGGGGGATGGGCTCCGGGTGGATTATTCCATTCATTTAACCTTTTGAAAAGAAACACCAAGGCCTGGACAAATTTATACCACAGAGTAAATTCAGGGAGTTAATTATAGCTATAATTTGTTTTGTAGGAATGGTTCTGAGTGGCTGCTTAGGTCATTCTCAGGGTGTTGCTATGGTGAGAGGCACAGGTACATTTCCAAGGCGATGCGTGTGTAACGAGGGGCTGGCAGCAGCTTGGTCCTGACGTCAGGGAGGGAAAGCTGCCGTGGTATACGAGCCATCTCCGAGTGTTTACTAGGAACTGCTGGGCTTAACCCCTGAAACTCAACCTCATCCCAGTCCTTGCAGGATGGAGATGAGATGACTTTCCACCGCATTGAGACATTTAATAATTGATCATTTGACAGCTGCCTTGAGAAAAATCACTTTATCACATGCGTTTGTTAGGTAGCTTCAGCTCTTACACTCAGTGGGAAGGGCTCTAACCACCCAGCTCATGGCTGTGTCAACAGCACCGAGCTCCGGACCTGGAACATGACAGGCACCCAGCATGTGACTCAAATGGCAACCACTTTATGGTAAATTGTATAGTGGTTAGAGAGGCAGGTTATAGTGTTTAGATGTCCACCTTTATCCAACCACCTCTCTGGGCTACTATTGGCCTGCACTGCATAGTGACGACATCCTGAACCGAGATGACTCTGTCAAACCCGAGGGCAACACAAAAGGACAGGTGTCACTCAGGGAACTATGTAGGACTTGCTTCCTGTCCTTCTGCAGGCTCTGACCACATCACGACATATTCTGTATGTTCATTTTATACCTGTTGGCATGAGCCTGCAGCTTTTGGAATTCTCCCTTACCCAGGGCAAACTGAGCAGCTGGTGTCTCATCAAAAAACACTGCTGGTTATACTCCCTTAAAAGAAGAAATAGGTTTCGATGGTTTTCAGTGAAAACTGAGGCAACAATGAGATTCACGTAGTAACATTTCTACAACTCATTTCTCACAAGGAGCAAAATGCATAGCTTTATGGAATTCAGCCACGATTGCCAACCGTGACATTGTGATGGATGCTAAGCAGATGAATATTAATGGAATAATTGCTGTCTGCTCTAAGTTCCCTAGTTTGTAGCAAGGAAAGAGTTATATAAAGAGAAAGATATATTAGGGATAGAATAGATTATGTGTATTTCGGATGCAGTAGTTGTTTGCGAACCTGTCTGAATGGTTTCTTACCCCTGGTGATAATCTATAAACTCATCCTTCTGTAGTACAAGAGAACTACTTTAAAAATCATCCCTTTAGTTGACAGCTGGAAATGCCTAAACTCTACACATTTCTGGCTACAAAGCAAAGAAAATCAAAAACAGGATACACTCCACTACTTCAAATAAGAGAAACTTCAACTTCTCCAAAACAAAATGCCCAAATCAAAAATGGTATTGCTCTTAGGTAAGTTGTTAAAAGACATTCCAATTGTTTCTTAGTTATCTTTTTAATTAACTGGGAGGTAGACCCAGACTCAGAGAAAGAGAGTGTGGGGAGAGCTCTTAGCGCATGAGCGCCCCAACTGCCCCCAGTGGCCAAGGTTCCTGCAGGCCGAAGACAGGACGTGATCTCAATCCGGGTCTCCCGCGTAAGTAGCAGGAGCCCAGGCTATTGGGTCACCAGCAGTTGCCTTAGAGTTTGCATTTGCTAGGCTACAGTACCCACCAGCATGAGCTG